AGTTGCTGGTACAATGTCACAACAAACTAAAAGTTATTTGTAGTTTAAGTTAAGTAGTTAAATCCTGTCCTGCAAATTTTGTTCAGGGAACCAAGTCCCCTAATAATTATGAATTTAATTACTTTGAAAATAATAGTGTTCTGAATTATTTAAGGGAGTCAAAGACTGAAGGAAAGATGTCATTTGTAAATGAATTTCTTTTTTCCCCCTTACAGCATGTATTTGATGATCTCAGTGGCTCAGTATCCTTGTCTTGGGTTGGAGATAGCACTGGGGTAAGTAATATTTTGAGGCTGTGAATTCAACTAAGCAAGAAGAACATGTAGATGTGGGGAGTTTATGCACTAAGTGTTGTTATTTTCTGAAACTGTTTCCAACCTCAGACACAGAAATACATGTTTCCAGGACAAACTCTCAGGAAACTGTGGTTGGCTTGGTTTTGCTTTAGAACGGGAAACATCCTGTAACCACCCTCTTCCATAATGGGAAGATAGACACCTTTTGAGTCCTTGGTGGCTGCTTGGCATCAAGATGAGCAAGAAGAAGAAAGAGGGAAGCGTGTGCTGTATGCTGAGAAGTGAGCCTCACAACACATGGAAGACCAGTGTGGAAGCTGAAACCTGGGCATCGCACATCTTAGCATTTTTCCTCCAAAATGCATTTTCCCACAGTTAGTGTTGAAGGACTGTGGCGCCCATGGGCTCATGGCTGATTCGTTCCATCTGTGTCCCTTTCCTTACAACAAGGGAGGTGCTGCCAGGATTGGGAGAGTGGAAGGAGCGTCAGTCAGCTCCTTATTCTCCAATGTGGAGCCCGTCTCCCAGTAGGAGGGTGCACTTTGGATGCATCGGCCCCAGGTCTTGACTCAGGGCTTGGTGTTAGCTGCTCTGTTATTATCCTGCCTGAACAAGGACAGGGCCACAGTTCATACCCTCCCCTCTGGTATTCCCCCTCCCCTCTGGTATTCCATGAATGTATGCCTCATAGCATTGAGGCACACGATGGCTATGTCAGGAATCCAAAGAAATATTGGAGCTGAAGAGCAAATTATAAATTAATTATCTTAATTAATTTTTAAACTTCTGGTAGAATGTCTTTAAGCATGTCTCAGT